GGTAAATTTGAATTGTAGGTATTATGCATCTATTAATCTAATGAAAACCTTAAAACTAATGAAACTTAAAAAAAATAATTTCAGAAGTTTATGCCAATATTAGAAACCAATACCTGCATTCCAATAATGGCGTAGATGAAGAAAAGCATGGCGATAAGCAGGCAGACATAAGGTAGAGCCTATCAGAGGGGAATACAGGAACATCATAAGGAACATTTCTGAACATTTCTTACATGAATCATCAACAGATTAGACAAACAAAAGCTGTCGGACCTTGAACGACTGTACGAAGGTCCACAGCAGGATGCGGATGGTGTAGCCTTGTCTCAGCAGCTTGATCAACCTGGCTGTCCGGAACAGCTTCAGGAAACTCATGTTGATGGTGTTCACCGACTGGGACAGGCGAGCGGGCGAGTTGGAGAAAGCAAGAGAGGGAGAGAGAGAGAGAAAAAGAGGGAGACACAGGCGGAGTGGCAGTCAGACGGGAAAGACGTGATGTAAAAATCACAGATGGTAAAATTCAGCACAACATGACTTAAACCATGTCTGGAGGCAGAGATCGTAACACGCATGCAGACAAACACACACACACACACACGGAAAAAAAAAATCTTGCAAAAAAATCATGCTGAGCCTAGAGCTGCCAGTTTTGTTTTTTTTAATCCAATGTTAAAATCCTTTGACACTAATAACCTTTAAGCATGTGTCTTACCTGCAAATCCACAATTATCTCTGAGATGCTGCCAAGAACGGTGATGAAGTCAAAAATATTCCACGTGTCTCGAAAGTAGTTCTACCAAAAAAAGAAAAAAAAAACAGACATACATTTATGTGTTTTGTTCTAAATTTCAATCTTTTAGAGTTTCGGCCGCATTCACGCTCACCACTAAACCAAAAGCCATGATCTTGAGTATACACTCCATGGAGAAGAGGACGGTGAAAGCCGTGTTTAGGTGTTTCAGGACGGCGTCGTAAGCTGTTGGAGCCGAGTGGTACTGAAAAGGAACAAGAAGTCAGTGAGACAATCGTGATGTTTGASTATATAAGTCCTTCTCGTAGCTGTTTGTTTCTGCACAGTTTGCAGACCTAAGCCCTGCAGGACATTACTGTATCATAAACTCACAGTTCACAGTTTATTGCTAAAAATGTCCAGGAAAATCTCTAGAAATGGAAATTATTTGCTTTGTGTCTTTATTGTAAATATTACCTGCAATAAAATAAATCAAAGCACATTTCAGATTTATTTTAGTCTTAACTAAAAGACCATCAGCAACAAAAAATTTGTTCCCAATAAGAGTTTTCTAAATATTTTAATATTGCAGATACCACATTGCTGAAAGACACTTAAAAGCTTGCGTTTCTGACTTTTTATGTAATTTCTTTCAAGCAAAGTTAAATTTTTTTGTAATTTGGGATGTAACAAAGCTAGAAGCTGCTAAGAATAAGGAAATATACGTTAAGTGTTGCTCATGAAAACCAGAAATAATAATAACCCAAACAAACTGCAAACCACAAGAAAGTGTGTTGTGTAKTTTTCCACAGTTTCCATCAGAATTACTTACCTTCATCATCAGGACAACAGTGTTTAGAGCGATCATGACGAGCACCGTGTACTCAAAGGAAGGCGAGGCCACAAAGTGCCACAGTCTGTACTGGAAGGTCTGCCTGTTCTGGGGCATGTAGCGGGTCATCGGCTTTGCGCTGATGGCGAAGTCAATGCAGGCCCTCTGATGTGGAGAGATTTGAAAATGTAAATAAATCTGACTTTAAAAACAACTCTCTATGAATGCTTTCGTGTTTTACCTCGTTCTTCTCCAGACTGCACTCCTGAATCAGCTTGTCACCCTGCTCCTGAAAGGTGATGATGATCAGAGCCACRAAGATGTTGACGAAAAAGAAAGGGAAGACCACAAAGTAGACCACGTAGAAAACGGACATTTCCATCCGGTTCCCGCGACTCGGTCCCATGTTCTCCTCAGTAACATCAGTCGAGTGCTGAAGGACCCTAAGTGAAAAAAAGACACTTTAAAGTGCCTGTGACATATTTTTTTTGTAATAAATATAAATGCATTTTGGGAAAGGTAGCATTGATAAAACATTACAGAAAAAAAAATCACAATGCTGAGATGAACACTTGTTGAGATATTTCTCTGTTAAGTAACAGGAAGTGATGTCGAAGGGGAATGTCTGAATGTGAGCAGAGGATTGCTACAACTAAATCTAACTAACACAGACAAGAGAGAAATCTGATGTTTCTTTAGATTTTGAGTCACTTTTAGAGAGAGATGAAGAAGAGTCAGATTTCAAATATTCAATTAACAAAGACCAAAGTTTCCTTTCTTAAAGAATTTCCCTTTGATGTCACTTCCTGTTTCAGTTTGTCTGAGCCAAGTTCAAAAGCAAATATATCAGCACTTTGTGGATTTTCTTTTTTTGCAGTTTCAAAGATCATTTAGATCATGCTAAATTTGTTTGGTTCATCTCAATTTAATAGCCTGTTGTCTCTTTCGGTTATTTTTCTCTGCTGTTTTTATCCAGTTTTAGTGGTTTTCGTGTTTTCTCTTTTCC